ACAGGACAGAACCCCACTCCCCTAGCCCCCAGCCTTGGGCAGGACAGGATCTGCTTGATTTCACATTCCACTTACAACCTTTCTGTCTTAGGAAGGTTGTGAACAGTTGGCACTGGATTTAGTTAATCTAGTCTGACAATCTGCCTTTAAGGTGGTCATTTTTTTGGAGGGGGGGAGATTTTTGCTATAGGGTGTTGCGTTCATCAGAAAGAAAGAGAGACAGGCAGAATGTGAGAAATCACCCCCCGGGGGGGGATGTCCATGTCACAATCCCTTCTCCTCCATTCTCCTCTTGGGATCTTGGGCACGCACGCACACGTGCCCAGCGTGAGTTTAAGCCATCGGGTCCAGGACTTGAACCGCGGTCGACTACATGGGAGTCCAGTGACATAGCCATTACACTAACTGCTAGTCCCCCTTACTGCTTTTTTTTTTTTAAATAGAAGCTGAACTATGTTAAATTCTCATTTAAAGTGTCCCAATTTTTCCACATACTCACTAACACTTATTTTCTATTAATTTGTTTGTTTTTGAGAGGTTTTCGCTATAGGGCATGTGTGCTCGCCAGACAGACAGAGAGAGACATAGAGACAGAAAGCGAGAAATCACCCACCAGGGGGGATGGCCACGCCGCAATCTCTTCTCCATTCTCCTCTCGGGATCTTGGGCATGCACGCACACGCGCCTGGTGAGTTTCAAGCCACCGGGTCTGGGACGTGAACCGCGGTCGACCACGTGGGAGTCTAGCGACATAGCCATTACGCTAACTGTTGGTTCCCCATTTGTTTGTTTTTTGATAATAGTCTTTCTAATGAGTGTGAGTTGGTAGTCGTATTTTCTAAAAATACTTTTAATTATTATTATTCTGGTCAGAGTATGCGTGCATTCTCCAGAGAGAAAGAGAGACAGAGAGAGAAAGAGGCAGAAAGGGGAAAGGGAGAAAGCACTCCCAAAAGGGGCATGGTTATACCACAATCCCTTCTCCATTTCCCTATCCTGTTGGGATTTGGGGCACACAAGTACCTGGTGTGTTGTTTCAGTGGCTTGGTCCAAGCCTTAAAGCACATAGCAATGTGGGGTCCAGCTTTCTTAACCACTGAGCCATGGGGCTGGGCCTAAAATATTATTTATTTATTCATTTATTTCATTCATTGTAGAGAGTGCATGTGCTTGCATGAAAGAGAGAGAAGCATGCTTAACTCCATGACCCTTTCCCCCAGTCCTGCAGCTTGTCAGGATCTACGGTGAGTCCACCCAAAGTGTTTCAGGTGGACTGTACTGGGGATCTGAGCCTAGGGTCAGCCATGTGGGTTCCAGCACTGCAACTGTTGATTATACCCCCAAGGCTGGACCTTATTGTGGTTTTGATATGCATTTCATTTAAAAAAAAAAATTCACCAGAGGATACATGCACTTGCCAGAGAGAGAGGGAGAGGAAGAAGAAGAAGCACCCTCTAATGGGGTGTGTTCATGCTGTAATTCCTTTTTTTTTAAAGAATGATTTTTAATTTAATTTTATTAATTGTCATTATTATTATTATTATTTAGGTTGACCAGAGAGAGACAGAGAGAGAGAAGGAAAGTGAGGAAGCAAGCTGCTAGGCCCCGGACTAGAACCATGGTCACATGCTGTAATTCCTTTTCCTCCATTTTCCACCCTCTCAGGATCTTGGGCATGAATGCACATGTGCCTAGCATGTTTTACAAGTTGCTGGGACTGGGATTTGAACCACGTGGTTGGTCATATGGGATCTGGTTCTCTTAACCACTATGTCTGGGGGTGGCCCTATCCTTTGAGTTATAATTCAATACTCTGACTCATTTTCTTGCTCAAATTGTTTCAGCCTTGCCCATTGGGATCTCTATCAGGTGACTAGATTTACTGTTTTTATTTTTTTAAGAGGTTTTTGCTATAGGGCTCGTGTCCTCGGCAGAAAGACAGAGAGAGAAATAAAGTGAGAAATCAGCCCACCAGGGGGGATGGCCATGCCGCAATCCCCTTTCCTCCATTCTTCTCTCGGGATCTTGGGCACACACGCACACGCGCCTGGTGTGACTTTAAGCCACCAGGTCTGAGACTCAAACCACGGTTGATTACATTGGAGTCCAGCGATGTAGCCATTATGCCGTCTGCTGGTCCCTACATTTTTTAAAAGTTTTCTTATTAATTGAGAGACACACAGAGCTGTACCCTCAACAGAAAGAGAAAGAGAGGAATAAGTACCCTCAACAGGGTCTTGCCATGCTGCAGTTCTCCCACCAGCCTCTCAGTCAGCTAAGATCACGATGTCCAAGTTCACCTAGGATCAAACCTGGGCCTGCCCTTTGCCTCCAGTATTGAGCAGCAGTGCCCTAACACCTGTGCCACTGTGGCTCGGCCTGGATCTACTTTTGTTTTTGTTTCTCTTTATTCAAGACAGAGAGAGTGAGAGAGATGAGCACTGTCCACAAGGTCTGGTCATGCCACGATCCCCTTCCTCTAGTCCTGCAGCCTGTCAGGTCCCGGACATCCATGCATATGTGTGGCATGTTTCAGGCTGACCAGGCTTGGTATTCCAACCACAGTTGCAATGTTAGACTGGGCTTCTCTTGAGCAGTTCATCAATACTGCGCCAGCCACAGACCGGACCTGGGCTTGCTTTAATTATGTTACTTTCTGTTTATGCTCTTCTTCTTAAGCTTCTTTTTTCTTTCCTGTGTGTGTTTTATTAGGTTACATTTTCTTTATTGTTCTTTTTCTCCACAAGTATGGAAGTTATACAACCCATTTCTTTCTTTTTTTAATATTTATTCTACAGTTCTTTGGTTCAGTATTTTTTTAAAAAATATTTAATTTATTCATTCGTTCATTTATTTTTAAGTTGACCAGAGAAGACAGAGAGAGAGAGAGAGAGGGAAAGAAAGCAAATGACCACATCCAGGACTCGAACCACGGTCAGCGATGTGGGAGTATCCAGCGCCTTAACCACCACGTCACCCGCTGGTCCCTATACAAACTATTTCTATCATTATAGTGATTATCCTAAAGATTTTACATTTAAATTCTAAATCACTTTCTCTAGGGCCAGCCCCTTGGCATAGTGGTTAAGGAAGCTGGATCCCACATAGCTGACTGCAGTTCAAATCCAAGCCCCAGCAGCTTGGGAAACATACAGAACACATGTACATGCATCCGCGGGGTTTCAACAGGATGGAGAAATGGAGAAGGAATTGTGGTGTGTCCATGCCCCATTGAGCTCCCACTCCTTTTCTCTCTGTTTCTTTGTCTCTCTAGCAAGTGCACACACCCTGTGGCAACAATTTTTTAAAAAGCAGGAAATATTAATACTCACAGTAACATGTATAAACTTTGAGGACATTATGCTCTGTGACATAAGCCAGACACAAAAAAACCAGACCATATAATTCCACTTCTATGAGGCCCTAGAATAGTCAAATCATAGAGTTATTATAAAAAGTAGAATGGTTGGGACCAGCAGTCGGTGTAATGGCTATGTCGCTGGACTCCCATGTAAATGACCACAGTTCAAGTCCCAGACCTGGTGGCTTAAACTCACGCCAGGCTTGTGTGCGTGCGTGCCCAAGATCCCAAGAGGGGAATGGAGGAGAAGAGATTGCAGCGTGGCCATGCCCCCTGGGGGGTGATTTCTTGCTTTCTATTTCTCTGTCTCTCTCTGTCTTTCTGGCGACCGCATGTGCCCTATAGCAAAAACCTCTCCAAAAAAAGAAATAAAGGGGGGGGGGAGAATGGTGATTGTCAGGGGCTCAGGGGCTAGGGAGAGAGAGGAAAGGGAGGTGTTCAATGGGTATAACAAGGTGACACAGTTAACACTGCTGGACTGTACACTTAACAGTGGTTAGGATAGTGGGGGCCAGCAGGTGACATAGAGGTTAAGGCAACTGGATCACATATGGCTGATTGTGCAATTTGAGTTCTGGACCTGGAGGCTTGAAAATAACTCTGGGTGTGTGTGTGCATGCCCCAAATCACAAGAGAATGGAGAAGGGACCGAAGTGTGGCCATCCTCCCTGTGGGGTACTTTCTCACTTTCCTTCTCACTGTCTATCCTGGGCAAGTGCATGTACCCTATAGCAAAACAAAACAAAACAAAACAAAAAGTGGCTACTTTAGTGTTCTAATTGTTCTAGGGCTTTTCTTTTCTTTTCTTTTCTTTTCTTTTTTCTTTTAGAGAATACCCTTTCAGTGATCAGAAGAGACACAGGTGGAAAATAAGGAATTTTTTTTTAGAAAGGTTTTTGCTATAGGGCACATGTGCTCACCAGAGAGAAAGTGAGAAATCATCCTCCAGGGGGATGGCCACGCCACAATCCCTTCTCCATTCTCCTCTCAGGATCTTTGGCACACGCGCACATACGCCTGGTGTGTGTTTAGAGCCACCAGGTCTGGGACTTGAACCACAGTCAACAATGTGGGAGTATTGGGACATAATCATTACATCATCTGCTGGTCCCCAAAATAAGGATTTTATTACTCACAGGGGTTGCACGAAGAAAGAGGGATAGAGGGCAAGGACTTGGGACATGGGCTTTTCTTGGGGTCCAGGGTAGAAGGACATTCAGAGAGAATGGTTGTTGGTGGTTGTGGCCACATGCTACCCTTGCCCATCTTTGGAGCCTCAGGATGGGGCATGGGGAGAGGGCGTGGGGTGGCTCTGCTATAACGCACAGGGCTACAGGGCTCACAGCTTTGAGTTTAAATTGTGAGGTCGCCAGGATGTCTGAATCTCTGGTAATGTAGCTGGGAGTGTCAGGAGGTAGAGCTCTGGGGAAGCAGGAAGCGAATCCTGTGAGCAACAGCCAGGTGAGAGGGATCGGATGGGTTTGTCCAGGGCCATGAGGCCAACAGTCCTCTCTGCTTTTGTAACCCAGGGTGGGCCCTGGTCTGAGCTCCATGACTCCCCATCCTTTGCTCTTGGGGAATGTATTCAGTGCATGGATAGCTCCTACACCACCCAGGGGGAAGCCATCAAGCAGCCAGGATGAAGGTACAGGGTCGCCTTCCACCCGACCAAACCAGAGCTGGCTCCTCCACCAGCCCCCACCCAGAGCGCAGCCAGGAGATACCCAGGGTAGAGGTGCCCCTTGGACCCACTGGCCTGGTGCCCACTGGAGCTGTCCTGTCCGGACATAATCATTACATCATCTGCTGGTCCCCAAAATAAGGATTTTATTACTCACAGGTGTTGCACGAAGACAGAGGGATAGAGGGCAAGGACTTGGGACATGGGCTTTTCTTGGGGTCCAGGGTAGAAGGACATTCAGAGAGAATGGTTGTTGGTGGTTGTGGCCACATGCTACCCTTGCCCATCTTTGGAGCCTCAGGATGGGGCATGGGGAGAGGGCGTGGGGTGGCTCTGCTATAACGCACAGGGCTACAGGGCTCACAGCTTTGAGTTTAAATTGTGAGGTCGCCAGGATGTCTGAATCTCTGGTAATGTAGCTGGGAGTGTCAGGAGGTAGAGCTCTGGGGAAGCAGGAAGCGAATCCTGTGAGCAACAGCCAGGTGAGAGGGATCGGATGGGTTTGTCCAGGGCCATGAGGCCAACAGTCCTCTCTGCTTTTGTAACCCAGGGTGGGCCCTGGTCTGAGCTCCATGACTCCCCATCCTTTGCTCTTGGGGAATGTATTCAGTGCATGGATAGCTCCTACACCACCCAGGGGGAAGCCATCAAGCAGCCAGGATGAAGGTACAGGGTCGCCTTCCACCCGACCAAACCAGAGCTGGCTCCTCCACCAGCCCCCACCCAGAGCGCAGCCAGGAGATACCCAGGGTAGAGGTGCCCCTTGGACCCACTGGCCTGGTGCCCACTGGAGCTGTCCTGTCCCTGTCAGCACAAATCTTGCAGCCTCAGCAGCTGACCTGGGCCTCAGAGGGAAACATCTTGAGGTTTCAGATATTATGGCAGGCAGAGGTCAGCTGGCAGACACTGAGTGCCCCACCTGCTCAGACTCATCAGGCTGTCAGAGGCGGGTTGGGGGGGGGCAGGTGTGTGGTGTGTGACCCTGAGGCCATGCATAGGAGTGAGGATAACAACGTAGGGGCCCATTCGTGACCATCCTTGACAATGGGTGATGGAGCCTCTGAGAGCCCAGACCAGCCACAAACCTCTGAGCCCCTGAGCACCCCTCCTGTTGGTAGGTCTAATGCCCATGGCCTGGATGGGGGCAGGAAGGACCAGAGCGTGGTTTTGGGAGCCAGCACGGCGGCCTGGTGGTTAAGTAGACCCAGAGAGGGAGGGGTGGCTGCGAGTCTGAAGGAAGTGCACACGTGCGCAGGCGTGTGCGCAGAGGGTGTGTGGGCCATCATGGGCCTCACCACTGACCAGCCTGGGCACAAGACTCCCCTGGGAACCAGCTTCACTGTTCTGAGTGCAAGGAGGGTCAGGTTTCCCTAGAAGCCCTAGAATAGCCCCTGACTGCCCACAAACAACCTAGCCCAGCCTACTAGTGGGCAGCCTGGCCCCTGCGTCCTGTCTGCCCTGGTCCCCTCACCCCCTGCCCATGTCTAGCTCTCTCCTTCTTGAGCTGTGGGCCCTCAATCCCTTTGTGCAGGGTGGCTGGGGTCCCTAATGCATCTGTTCATCCAACGTGTTTTTAGAGAGTGTTTGCAAAATGCTGGCATGGGGTCCATGGGGTGGGAGGGCAGCCAGGCTCTGGTCATTGAATGGCAGCTGGCCTGGGTGGGCCTTCAACAAGAAATCACACACATGAGTGTGGGAAGCCTGTGGTGAGGGTCCCATGGCACACAGCAGGGAGGGCTAGTCCCTTTGGTAGGTAGATCTGCAAGTTGGCATGGTACAGTGGGAACAGTGATGGGGAACAGTGTGATCGGCTTGTTCACTCATACTGTCAGCCCCTTTCCTGCCCTCTCTCCTGGTCCTTGGTGCCCACCTTCAGAGTGAAGGGATGCCCAGGAGAGGAGAGGCAGGAGGATGCCCTTTGGGGAGGGCTGAGCCTGGCCCAAATTAGGGCGGGCAGGATTTCCCATCCATAAAAGGCTCTTGGAATCTGGACCCTGGGGACCCCAGGCAGCTGGGCCCAGCTAAAACTCAGCTGCTGCCACTGCCCCTTGTGCTCCGCTAACAGCAGACCCGCTGCTGCCACCCTCAGTCTCCTCTCAGCAGGCACAGACATGGTAAGGCTTCTCAAGTACCTCGTAGAGCCTCTGGTGGGCTGGCTGGTGGGGGAGAAGCCAGGGCAGGGCTTCCAGGCAAAGGGATCAGCTTGATCCAGTGTTTGGGGGCGTGAGGGCCTCTCTGGAAGCCTGGGTTGGAGGGGATCAAGGTCAGGCTCTCTGTACCATAACATTGCCCTTGTCCCAGGGCCAGGATGGGGCAGCCTTTTCTGAAAGCTGGTCCATGGTATACCGCTGCTGTGGTGGTACCAGGTGAGGGTGGCCAGGTGCTGGACCCTCTCCCTGGAATACAGCAAGACCGGGCCACACTCCACACTGGTCCTGTTTTGGAACTGGTCTCCCATGCTCCATTGTCTTGGCCGCAGGGCCTGGACCTGGCCCAGCTAACCTTGCAGCTCTTGCTGTCCCCTCATATGCTGGACCGTGTCCTAGTTCCTATGCACCTGGCCCCTGCCTCACTTGTCCTGCTTCTTTAAACTGCCTGGCAGAGCCCTGCTCACCCTGGAAACCCACTATGTGTTACCCTACCCTGAAACCTGCTCTGGGCTGGGGGCCTGAAAGATTGCCAAGTGGGTGGACAGGCAGGGGGACACCCAACCCTCTTCCAAACAGGGGGGCAAAGGAAGCCCCTGGTGAGGCTGGTACATGTGCCCCGCAGACAGAGCGCCTTTCACCTGAGCAGATCAAGGAGTACAAGGGAGTCTTTGAGATGTTCGACGAAGAGGGCAACGGGGAGGTGAAGACTGGCGAGCTGGAGCGGCTCATGAGCCTGCTGGGCATCAACCCCACCAAGAGTGAGCTGGCTTCGATGGCCAAGGACGTGGACAGAGACAGTGAGCTGGCTGGTTGCGGGGCACCTGTGTGATGCGCAGGGAAGGGGGTGGGGACCCAACCCTCCCCGTGAGCCCTGACTTCGCTCCTTGCAGACAAAGGGTTCTTCAACTGCGACGGCTTTCTGGCACTGATGGGGATTTACCATGAGAAGGCCCAGAACCAGGAGGGCGAGCTTAGGGCGGCTTTCCGTGTCTTTGACAAGGAGGGCAAAGGCTACATTGACTGGAACACGCTTAAGTAGGGGCTGGGACTGGGTGGTGGGGCGGGCATGGGGATGGGAGGGGGGTGACTGAGTGGCTCAGTGTGAGGATCTGGCAGGTACGTGCTCATGAATGCTGGTGAGCCCCTCAATGAGGTGGAGGCCGAGCAGATGATGAAGGAGGCCGACAAGGATGGGGATGGGACCATCGACTATGAGGGTGAGTGGAGGATGGGCCTGGGAGCTGGGCAGCTGTGGCAGACTGCTGACCTGCTCTCCTGCCTTCAGAGTTCGTGGCCATGATGACCGGAGAGTCCTTCAAGCTGGTCCAGTAGGAGCACCTGCTATTGCCATGGGAGGCCTGCCGGCAGAGGGCCGCTGCCCGCTGCTGCTTGCCCTGCTGCCCTCCCCAACACCTTCTGCCTCCTGCTCTGTGACAAATAAATGCTCTGGCCTGACTCCTGTGTGCTTCATTGTCTCCAGCATGGAGATGAAGGAGGGTGAAAATGTGGGCTGGGAGAAGAGAAGGGTTTTCCTGGGCCAGTCATGGGCACATAGCCCTGGTCACTTCTGCTATGACACTTGACACCACCCACTGGCCAGTTCTGAGCAGCCAAAGGCCAGACTGGGCACAAGTTGGGAACAACATGCTTGCCCTGTTTGCCTACACTGGGAGTGATTGGCCAAGGGCCCCTCCCAGAGCCCAGAGCCTTTCCCATAAAAATGGACACCACTTAGATACAAATTTTATTCTCTCTCCAAAAAAGCTGTGGATGTCACAGCTGGCTCTGAGCTCCTGAGGCTCAGGCCTGTGGGCCTTCTCCAGGCTGAGTGCCTGATGTGGCCGGGCCAGGAACTGGGACTGAAAGCAGCAGCCTGCCTGGGGGCTGGCCGGCGTTACATAGCAACGAGGCCGGGGCTGCAGCAATGTGCTGGATGGCTGGCCTTCCCAGGGGAAGGATGGTGAGGTGGGCTAGGGACCTCTGGCTCCAAGTGCCAGTACTCCAAACACTGGTCTGATGGCTCCAGCAGAGTTGTCCCAACCCCTCAAGGGGTACCAGGGCTACAGCCAGGGGTGTTGGGCTCCTGGGGCCCTGGGGTGGTCTCTAGGCCTGAAGGCCCAGGTGGAGGGCTGGGCTTCTGGGAAGGCTCCGACTGCTCTTCTCTGGGTTTGGCCATCTTGATGGCCTCATCATAGGAGGGTGGCAGCTCAGGGATATACAGGCTGTAGGCAGGAGGGGCCATGGAGTCCAGGTCCAGCTCCCCAAAGGGCAGGGGCAGCTGCATGCCCAGTGGGTACTGCACAGAGCTGTAGGCTGTAGGGAACCGGCGTGTTTGTGGAGATGGGCTTGGCATCCATCCATCCCCTTTTCCTCCCTCCACACCCTGACAGGTGGGCCCCCAGGAGCTTACAGGTCACAGTGCTGTGCACAGGGCTGTCACTGTCCACAGGGATGACTGTCAGGTCACAGGGTTGCCCTGCTGGTGGCAGATGTGGCTGGGTATGAGCCTGCTTCCGGAGGCAGCAGAACCGGACACAACTGGCTGTGACCCCGCACAGCAGCAGCAGCAGAACAGCGAGCAGGATGAGGCTGGGTAGGGGAGGAAGGCCATACCGCTGGATTGATCCT